TGGGCAACTTGGCGAGACCTCATCTCTACAATAAATCAAAAAATTAGCTGGGCGCGGTGGTGCATGCCTGTGGTTCCAGCTGCTTGGAAGGTTGAGACAGAAGGATCGCCTGAGCCCGGTAGGTCAAGGCTGTGGTGGCCGTGAACGTGCCATAGCCCTCCAGCCTGAACAACAGAGTGAGACTCCAATTAAAAAAAAAAAAAAAGATGTGGGGTACAATTTAAGGTTAGCTATGTAAGTAGTCATCACACAGGTGAAGTCTGGGCTACCCATTGGTCCTCACTTTGTGTAAGGAGTATTTTTAACCACACACAATGGCCTGAGCCATTCAATTGAGCATCTTGCTATGCAAGTGTGGGCTGCCAATGGTGATCATACAAAGCAAGAGATTTGCTGCTACTGGCTGTGTAAGGCTCCTACCCCAGTATCTGCAGGCCTACTGGTCACCCAGGGGCATGATAAACTGACCTCTTGCAAGGACACCCAGGGTTTGTGAGTGACTTGTGGGTGAATGTGAGGCAGACAGAACCTTCCTGGTTAGGGCGAAGGCTTGCTCGCCATGGCTCTGGCATGGTGTGGGATGGAGTTACTGTCGGAAATGGTTCTGATATGTCCGATGCTCAATGAACATTAAAGCAATCGAGTTCCTGTCTTCAAGAACCTTTTGGTACTGTGTAAGAGACAAAAACTAAAACCACAGAACAGTAAAAGTACTGCCTGAATAAGCGTAAGTCATGAGACACAAAACAATGGCTGTCGAGGTTCGACTGGGCAGTGTCTCGCTCATTCTGCCTCTGAAGACTTCCTCAACCTGGTCCCTCCTCAGGTTCTGCTTGGAATTCTACATGTCTTCCCCCTGCCATCCAGCCTAGTCCATCCCCCAGAGGGCCTCGCTGACCCTTCCAGATGCCATTGTTTTCTGGTGACTCCCCGTCAACACTTGGCGGCTGTCACCGCCCACAGAACCTCTAAAAAGCCTAAGTGCCCTGGCCTCTACCTCGCTCTCCATCCTCACATGCTGCCTCTCTCTTAACCGTCTTCTTCTGAGTGCTTAGCTACTCTCTGTATTTTCCCAACGCTCCTGAGGGTTGTCTTTCGGCTGGGCTCAGGGTCATAACCTCCAGGATTTCTTATCAGAAGCGCAGCTGTTTGGTTCCTATCAGGACATGCAGGATGGCGTTGCTGCCAGGACCACGGTGTCTGCAGCCGGAGCGAAGGCTGTGATTCCAACTCAGCCACTTTGCTGAAATATTCTATTTATTGTGCTTTGGTTTCTCATCTATGAAAAAGACAGCAGCCAGACCTCCTTCCCTGGATCGCTGTGAAGATGATACAAACGAGAAGTTCCCGGCATGTGGCGAGTGTGTGATCCGTGCCAGTGACCAACACTCATCATGTGTACTGCTGCTCTTCCCTGTGTGCTTCGTCTGTCAACTCTATGATCCTGAGGTCAGGGACGGTCTCTGATGACCCCTGCAACCTCGAGGCTGGTAGAACCGGTGCTCACCATGGTGCCGGAAGGGAACTATTAAGAACCTTCTCGGGGGAGGTGAATATCAAGCTCGGGTGACAGAAGAAAAAGTGTTCCAGCGGGGACAGGTCCTGTCCTCATGAGGACATGAGGAAGCAGTGTGGAGGGGTGGTGACTCTGCAATGGAACAAGGGGACAGCCAGGCTAACAAAGCCAGGGAGACAGGAGCCAGCTGAGATGGTCCCTCCAGGACCGCAGAGACCAGCAGCTCAGACTCGACACAGCAGGCGGTGGAGAAAAGGCCTGGCGACAGGGACCGGACAGGAAGGACTGCAATTTCATCAGTAGCTCTAGTGGTTATTACCCCAAACCTGCTCCCTCCACAAGAAAAAGTAATTCTATGATCACAGAGAGGCCACATTTTTTATTGATAACTCAATCTCTACATACAAACAGTATTGCACAAATTATAAGTGGATCAACAATTATATTACTGATACAAACTCATAAGAATTCACATAAAACTACCGCTCTAGGTTTTGGTGCATTTTGTGGCAGCTACTTTAGTAAATAAAACAAACATAAAGGAACTCAGCTACTTGAATTCATGAGAATCAGCTTTCAAAAAAAGCATATAGGTCATCTCATAGAATTAAAAATGTCAAATCCAGGAAAATCAATAACTGACAAAAGGAGCACTTTTAAAGAAAAGTTGGTGATAAAAATGTGAGCTTAAAAATCATTTAAAAATTTTAGCAACTGGACTTAGGAACCAGAAAGTGTGCACATATTGGCAATTTTAGGACAAGTCCCCCATGTTCTCCATCATAATTATGACTAAATTCCAAAAGAGTAATTCTGGGTTGCTACAATGTCGTCTCTGCTATAAACCATTGTTTCAAAGTTTGAAGAAACAAGATGGTAATTCACATAAAAGGGTTTTAAAATAAGATTTTTCCTATTCAAAATAAAACTAATATAATCCCCCCCAAATTACAAAGAAATTCTATCAAAATGTTGACCAAAGAAGCCAGACCACTGCTCGCTGTCACTGACTGCTCCAGGGGGCAGAGCACATGTGCCACCTATGAGGAAGGGAGATGGGCAGAGTCCCAGCTCCCTAACTTGTGCACTGAGGGAGGACAAAAGCCCTTCGACCTCCCTGGGGTTTTGCGTCCTCACATACAGAATTGGGGGAGCAAGGTTAGATGGCTTTTAAGAAATTCTTCAACTAAAACAATCCAAATCATCTTGAGATCCCATCTTTGAGCAGACAGGGTGGCAGAAGAAATGGATTAAAAACCAGCTGGATAAAGTATTTCTCACCTTTTGATACCATCACTCAGAACTCAGTTCTACACTACAGTTCAAGGAAATCTTCACCCAGCCGTTAAAGGGTATGTGGTATGCAAGTGAGGTCTGACAATGAAATGTTTGCTCAAGACATAAAAAGGCCATGCCAAGTTTGGGTGGAAAAACAGTGTACCTGCATGTTACTGCACCAGCAGTCAGGATTTTCTACCTCTGAAACTTAGGCGTCACCAGTCCAGTTGAGAAAAATGTTGAGAAAGACGCACATTCAAGCCACTCCACAGCGCTCCAACGGGTGCACACCTATTATTCTATTTGCTGAATGGATGAACAGGTGCTCGGGAGGCAACTTCAATGAAACTGGTTCTACTAAGAAAGGATGCGGAGAGTGAAATGATCCAAAAGGAGCAATGGCTTCTCATTTTCTGTCCCCTACAGAGAATACAAATACCATTTCTTCTGGAATCCACCACACTGGCTTCATTTTCAAAATGCATCACTTTATTTTCTTTGCAAGACAGCCACATATTAAGCACGTGACAGTCGCTTGGTTTCTTCAGTAAACCCAAAGGCCTCTTCGAGCTGCCCTGGGGCTTATGGCCAGAAGTCCTGAGGTTTCAAATATTAAAGCTTTCTCCACAGCCACAAGTTCCTTTGATGTTTGGGTTATTGAACACAAATTCACTGGATAATTTGTCTTCAACATAGTCCATTTCTGTTCCTAAAAGTGTTAGCTGTGCTTTCTTTTCGATGAACACTCTGACTCCTTAGGGAAAACAAAACATGTGTCATATAAAGCCTGCAGCTTTATGGAACCTGCTGATTCAAAGCACAAGTGAGCTTTAAATAGTAACTACAAAAACCAAACAGGAAGCTTCTGAATATTTTGTATTATTTCCTCAAGGGATTAAGTGCTCAGTTTCCTGTCTGTCCCCTCATTCCCACACACCAATCCTTGTGAAAAAACAGTAACATTAGGAGGGACAGCTTTATACAAGCAAATACCATGACAATTCTGTGCAAAACTGGAATTTGTCTTTCACTCGTTTTTTCTATGTGTGATATGAAGAAAATGTGTATATTTTCTCAGTTACAGTTTTCTAAAGCACGAAGCGATAAAACTTACGAAAATCCTACAAAGGACATCTATATACTCAACACATGCGTAAGCCTAGAGACATACAAAGGATCATTTTGAATTGAGAATACTTTAATAAGACCAATCAGTAAAGCATAGTTCTGTTCTGGTTACGGGCCAGAAAATGGATCATATTTCCACGGGCCAGAAAATGGATCATATTTCCTCGTAGTTATGTAGGTAGAGGTCGACATCTTTGTAAACACAATTAGTTTAAGAAAGCCTTCTTCTGGCTGGGTGTGGTGGCTCACACCTGTAATCCCAGCACTTTGAGAGGCTGAGGGGGAAGGACTGCTTGAGCCCAGGAGTTTGAGAACAGCCTAGGCAACAGAGGGAGACCCTGTTTCTATAAAATGTCAAAAAAATTAGCCAGATCTAGTGGTGTGCATCTCTTGTCCCAGCTACAAGGAAGCTGAGGTGGGAGGATTGCCTGAGCCCAGTATGTCAAGTCTGCAGTGAGCCAGTGAGCCATAATCGAGCCACTGCACTCCAGCCTGGGCAGCAGAGTGAGACTCTGACTCAAAAAACAAAAACCAAAAAACAAACAAACAAACAAATAAAACCCCCCCCCCAACCCTTTCCTTCTAAGAAAGTGAGTCATTACCTAAATATAAACTATATATAATTAAATCGACTTATAGATTGAAAGTCTAAGGTTTATAATATGCTATGAGTTGATTTTTAAAATAATTTATTTTAAAATGTCTTTATTGGTTAGTAACTTCATTTTAATAAGAAAGCACACTTAAGGATCCTGGCATAGTTCTCCCACATAGGCAGGGACTGCAAGCTAGCTAAGAGCAAATTCCAATGCACAAAATCACCACTGCAAAACCCATGAACACTCAATTCTCCCCACCCTGCAGCATTATTTATCTTATTTTAGATAGGCTTTATCAGATTATTTGGTGAAGAAAAGAGTAGTGGTAAATGTAAATGAAATTTTTAGTAAAAATTGGAAACACGGAATTCTTTGAAAGCATGAATTGAGCCAGGTGTGGTGGCTCATGCCTGTAATCCCAACACTTTGAGAGGCAGAGGTGAGAGAACTGCCTGAGCCCACAAGTTTGAGACCAGCCCGGGATACTTGGCGAGATCTCATCTCTATGACTAAAAAAAAAAAAAAATTAGTCAGTTGTAGTGGCACACAGCTGTAGTTCCAGCTACTTAGAACGCTGAGGTAGAAGGAACAACTGAGCCCAGCAGGTTGAGGCTGTGATGGCCATGAGTGTGCCACTGCACTCCAGCCTGGACGACAGAGCAAGACTCCAATTTACAAACAGAACTAAACAAAATCAAACAAAACAAGAAAGCATGAGTTGATATTGAGACCAGAAGCATTTTGGATTTTGTATTTGGAAGTCAGGTGCCACATAATAACGTTTTGATCAACGAGGGACCACATACATGACTCTGGCCCCCTAAGATTTTAATAGAGCTGAAAAATTCCTATTGTCTAAGTAGTTGCCATGACATCATAGCTCAATGCATTGCTCATGTGTTTGTGGTATAAATCAACACAGTGACAGTTGTATACAAGTACAGCACATATAATTATGGACATTATGTAATACTTGGCAGTGACAGTAAATGACTATATTTTTGGCTTGTGTATTTTCTATATTATGCTTTTAATTATGCTCCTACTTATTACAAAAAAAAAGGCTAACTGCAAAACAGCCTGAGGTATTCCCGAAGAAGGCACTGTTATCACAGGAGATGACAGCCCCATGGGTGTTACTGCTCCTGAAGACCTTCTAGTGGGACGAGACATGGAGGTGTAAGTCAGTCATACTGATGATCCTGACCCTACGTAGGTCTGGGCCGATGTGTTTGTGTCTTAGTTTTTAACTAAAAAGCTTATAAAGTTTACACAAAGCTTACAGAATAAAGATATATAAAAATATTTTTTGTATAGCTCTATAGTAAGCTTTTGTTTTCAGCTGTTTTATTACAAAAGAGCAAAAAAGTTTACAAAATTAAAAGTTTATAATGTTAAAAAGTTGTTGCAAGTGAAGGTTTATTTATTATTGAAGAAACACATTTTGCAATAAATTTAGAGTAGCCCAAATATACAGTGTAAAGTCTACAGTGGTGTAATGTCCTAGGCCTTAATAGCCACTCACCACTCACTCACTGACTCACAAAGAGCAAATTCCAGTCCTGCAAGCTCCATTAATGGTAAGTGTCCCATGCAGATATGTTGTATTTTTATCTTTTTATTTTTATGTGTTTTTTTTTTTTATTTTTTAGAGAAAGGGTCTCACTGTATTACCCAGGCTATATTCCTACCATACCATTAGTGTTTATTTCATGCTGTTCACAGCTAAAAATTATGGATAAAGGGTCCGAAAAATGTTAATAACTTACCATCTTGAACAACTTCTTCATCAGAATCTCCTTTTGTCTTTGTATATTCCAGAGTATAAGAAAGGCCATTACAGCCCCTGGTTCGGACACCGACTTTTACACCTACCTGAAAAAGAATTAAAAATATAAATTTAAAGTACAGATTAAACAATTATATCAATAAAGTGTCTGATAGCAGAAATGCCTCCCCCTAACAAAATGGGATCTTCTTAAAAATGTTTTTGCTCTACCTCATTGTGTGAGATGTTCTCTGGATGGTTCTCTATGGTTAGGGTTCACCAGAGTTCACAGGTCATCACCTGCCAATCATACCTCTTCATGGGGGCCTAATTCTAGGGCAGACTTATATAAACATTCTTGAACAACAGAAAGGAAAAGACTGCAGTCAATACAGACAAGAGAAATTTAAAAAGTGACCAAAGAGCACTTGCAAAATGTCAATGTTTACATTAATGCAATTTTCTAATAATATCTAAGTTCCTTATTTAGGGAGCCTATCTGTTTTTTCTTCTTCTTTGCTTTTTTTTTGAGTCAGAGTTTCACTCCGTTGCCCACCGTGGACTGCAGTGCCACCACAGCCTCAACCTGCTGGGCTCAGGCAATTCTTCCGCCTCAGTCTTCCAAGTAGCTGGAACCACAGGCATGTGCCACCACACCCAGCTACTATTTGATTATTGTAGAGATGAGGTGTCGCCAAGTTGCCCTGGCTGGTCTTAAATCCCTGGACTCAGGCAATCCTCTTGCCTCCACCTCCCAAAGTGCTGGGATTATAGGCATAAGCACCTGCACCTGGCTGCTTTTTCATTTAAGCACAGTCATCCCTTGGTATTCTCAGGGGATTGGTTCCAGAAGCCCTTGCAGATACCGGCTGTGGATACTCAGGTCCCTTATATAAAATGGTGTAGTATTTGCATATAAGCTACACACACCTTCCCACATACTTTAAATCCTCTCTAGATGACTTATAATACCTAGTACAATGTAAATGCTATGTATATAGTTGTATACAATATTGTTGAGGGAGTAATGACAGTAAGAAAAAGTCTGAACTCGTTTGGTACAGATGCAATCCTTTTCCCCCCCCAAGTATTTTTGATTTGCAGTTGGCTGAATCCATGCATGCAGAACTCATAGATACATAGAGATGACTATGTACAGTACAATTATTATTATTATTATTATTATTGAGTTGGAGTCTCACTCTGTCGCCCAGATTGGAGTGCAGTGGCCGCTCCCGGCCACCACAGCCTTGACCTGCCGGGCTCCGGCGATCCTTCTGCCTCAGCCTTCCCAGTAGCTGGAACTACAGGCGCGCGCTACCACGCCCGGCTAATTTTTTGATTTATTTTTGAGGTGAGGGCTCACCAAGTTGCCCAGGCGGGTCTCGAACCCACGGGCTCAGGCAATTCACTCACCTCAGCCTCCCAAGGTGCGGGATTACAGGCTGAGCTACTGAGCCCGGCTTACAACTATTATTATAAGAAGTATTATTTCACCAGCAGAATCTGATTCTCTGAAAAGCAGCAGTGTGTGCTTGCTTCAGGAAAGCATCCTGAAGTGGAAAGAAATCTGGTAAAGAGCATAGTAAGAATTTTCACATGCCTGAGAGATTTCATAAGGCAAAGCATTCAGAGAATGGTCTTTTTTGTCCTTGAATAAAAGCAAGGAGATAGAACTAGTTTTATTCACCTTCAGAGTGACAGTTTAGACTATATGAGGGAAGTTCCCATATTCAGAATGATAAATAATTAACTGACAAGTTAAAATTCTGAAGCACATGTCGTAAGTATTTGTTTATGTTTTTATTTTTGTAAACAGGAAGACTCAAGCAAGCAGAAGTTCAACTATTAGGAATGGATACAGACACTTAGAGCATGTGAACTTACAAGTTTTTAGGCACCTGGAGTTTTAAAAAGGAAGTGCTCGTGCCATATGTTTTACAACTTTTTATACCAATATGAACAAACATCCCTCAAATCTACAAAATAAATTTCTGCTTCATTTGGTCAATTTATACTCTAGTTATTAATTAGTCTATCAGTTGAGTTGGGACACTTATATCCTTTAGCAGGTAATAATTCTTAGAAGGCGGGTTCGAGACCCCCTATTACATTGTGATGTAGGCTGTACAATGGAACCCAGAAACCACTCCAGTCTGATTATTAAATACTGACAGTTCATACTTGAAGTGATGTATACCCTCCCAATGGCAATTAACAATGTACGATGAATAAGAGGACACGCACCCCTAATTCGACAATTCCATTTCAACTAGCAACGAACCCTATGTAGGTGCACCGAGCCACGTTTACAGTCTAGAATAATGGCCCGGCACATCACAGCCACCAAACAGTTGATGAATGATGTCTGTGGCAGCACTGAATGAAAACTACCCAGCTGAGCTTTCACATGGGGGACTGGCTAGAGACACAAAACCTGTTCAATGGAACATGCTACATAAGCAGCCACAAAAAAGGACGAGGTCGATTTGTATACAGTGATATAAAAAGATCTTCAAGCTAGAATTTTGGGGTAAAAAGCAAAGTGCAGCCACAGCATGTATGGCATGTGCTCATCTCGTAGGGGGAGACACACACAAGAGTAACAGGCAGTCCAGGCAGTGGTTCCCCTCAGGGAGAAGGAAAGGAGGTGTTACCGACACCTGGTGGGTGTAGAGGGCAGAGATGCCACCAAACATCCTGCCACTCACCCTGAAGTGTCAACAGTGGGAAGGGTGAGAAAGCCCGGTGCAGCCACATCAAATGCTCAGATTATCCCTGGAAGGACCGAAGAGGTTGCTTCTTGGAAGAAAGAATTAGGATAAGAGTCTGGGGTTGAGAATGACTTCTTTTTCATTAAATACCCATTTGTATTATTAGAATTTTTAAAAGTCATGAGCATATTTCACTTTTAAAAGAAAACCTAGCTAATAAAACATACTGTTTATCACAAGATAAACTCATTCTGAAAACACAACTTCCATTTTTTACTAAATATTCAACTGGTTTTACTTACGTGCTCAGGCTTATCTTTAAGAAGTTGTTTTATCTTGTTTACTGCTGAAGGTGTCTGAAGAAAAGAAAACATTAAGCTTTTAGCTACAAAACTTGCATTCTTCAAAGTCTTACATTTTCTAGTCTTTATTCAAGCCTACGTTTAGCAAATTCACGTGAAAAATGTACGTTCCATTCTTGCTAGGGTACCTTGTGGATTTTATACACAAACATATGAACTCTACTCAATTCAAAATATCCTCTATCTTTAAAAATGAAAAACTAGCAACATCGTTTTAATCTTGTTCTCCAGTTCCATTGAGTTCCCTGTCATACTCTCTATGGCATTATCTAGTTACATCACAAATGTCATTTTTCTGGGCATCTATTTTGTGCACCTACTCTATGCCCAGCAACAAGCACACTGCCTGATATCCAGAAGGCCAGTAAACAGTCAACAAATGAACCAAGTACCTCAGTGGCAATGTCAACGTTCAGGTGGTTTTCTTGTTGATTATTAATCCTACTGTTTGTTTGCTTACTCAAATCCATCAAAATGCACAGATGGAAGAATGTTACCAGACTAAAATAGCCCAGGATGTGATTTTTTTTCTTTTAATTTAAAGACAGAGTCTCACTCTGTGGCCCAAGCTGGAGTGCAGTGATACAATCATAGCTCACAGCAGACCGGAACTTCTGGGTTCAAGCAATCCTCCTGCCTCAGCCTTCCAAGTAGCTGTGACTACAGGTGTGCACCACCATGCCTGGCTAAGAGGGTATGCTTCTTGTACCAGTCCCACCAAATACTCACATCGATTTTTCAGTGTGAATTAAACCAATATCTCAGGACATCTAGATGAAGAGAAATAAGTTAGCCACCGACAGAAGTAAGAACAGGGTGGAGTTGTTTCCCTGGAAGAATGCTGTTTAATCTAGCTCAGAAGGCCTCAGAATGAGGAAGGCGGCACAACGTTGTGTGTGTGTACAGGTCAGTGTTACCGACAGACCTTTCTCAGGAAGGAGGCTGCTGGGAACAGTATTCCAAGGCATTCCTCATCTGCTTCCTAGCTGTGCCCCACGGGCAGTCAGGTTAAGTGGCTTCTCTGACTTTAAGCCCTTACTGCTAAAGTGGGGATAACAGTCTCTCCTTCTCAGGATTCTAGTGAGAATTAAATATCTGAATTCATGACAAGCACTCAGGACACAAAGATCTGAATACAAGCCAGCTATTATGATGATGAAGACAGTACATCCTAGTGAAGTGATTACCTGCCTCCTTTCCACTCATTAGCATCTCCAGTTGGCAATGTTGTGCTGGCCCTCCAGTTTTTTATATGGACATTTTATTGGCTTGTGATGTCTCAAGGTCTGGATATTATGACCTATGACTTAGTGGCAAACTGTAGCCAGAATGCCTGTGTTGGGGGAACAGACCCAACAGAAGGCTTGAGAGGACGCTCTCCAGCTCTCTGGGTGAGGGCTTGGCCAGATGAGGCCGTTTAACTACAATCTGAACCCAATTTAGAAGGGTCACGAAGCCAATTTAGAAAGCTGAAACCAGCATTTAAAAAAGAAAATAGTGTATTACACTGAATGAAATTAATGTTTAGTGGAACATTTGTTATTAATATATAGTGTGTGAATATATTTCTTATTGTGTGTCACTGTAAAAAAAAAAAAATCACCACCAGTTGGTGGTCTCTAAAGGTCTTTTTCACAGTTTGATCAGAAGAGGCATGTGGCCTGGCAATATGGAGAGGATGCAGGGAGCAGAAGGCAGAAACGCTGAAGAGCAGAGTTTTAAGGCTTGTCTTTTCTTTTTCTTTTTTTGAGATCACAGAATATCAACGTCAAACAGCTACAGAGACATTTGTTAACATTTTTTAAAACTGCTCATTTATCCTTCTAAACGGTTGCCAGTAAAAGCTGGCTTTCTTATCTGCTACTTTTAAATTTTCAAGGTCATATTTTCCTACATGCATGCTGAAGAAATTAATCTACTTACTGTCAAATAAAAAAAGATTTCTGTAAGTTTTTTAAAAAGGTATAGCCGTGGGAAATAGTTTAAAATCCAATGCGTAGTCTTTCTTTAATGTGGGCAGGTCAAGGGCCCAGACCTGCACATCACCATATGACCTAAACAAAACAAACGTATCTCCCACACTACTCAGATTACCGGGCCCAAGTATTTTTATCTCCAAGTGGCTTTCTAAATTATCTAGCTTGGTCTTAGGAACCAAAAATGTGTCTTAATTTTCCTGCGTCAGGACAGGACCAAACATACTCCCATTGGGAGGGTATTACTAAATGATGAATAACCCAGTTGAGTACTCAATCAAGGGGAAAGAGATGGTTCTTATAACTTTCAAAAAAGTGGCTGATCTGATTTCAGAACAAGTCGGAATGGCTAAATAAGGAACACGATTTGTGATGGAAAAAAAATTCTAGCTACAAAAAGTGCTTTTTGTATCCCAGTACCAGGCAGAAGCTAAGAAATCTAATTTGCTCTAAGCTATTTAGACACCCTAGCGGCTCTAGGTAGGCTTAGGTAAAATAAGTTTGGGAAACAATGTAAAATCTTTAACTAAGCAGTCAGTATGCTGCAGGGACTAGCAGCCTGCTGGTATCAATGCACACCTCAGAACAACTAAGAAACCGACAATTCCTTGAGAAATTTATGTACAATTAATGACTGTAGTTCACCTGAGATTTGGTCCATGTTTTAAAACTTAAGAGATTCTTGAAGCCCACTGAAATATGATGGTTTTTAATCTATTCATACGTAAATCACAAAAACGTGACTCCTTTAAGTGAGAGGATGTCTCTTAGTTAAGACAGACCGGCCTAATTGAAGAGAGATACATGTATATTTCCAGGATTTTTTTTTTAATTATGGGAAAAGGTACTGTAGATGAACGTGTCTAAACAATAATTCGGCCGGGCTTGGTGGCTCAGCCTGTAATCCCAGTACTTTGCGAGGCCGAGGTGAGAAGATTGCCTGAGTCTGCGGATTCGAGACCCGCCGGGCAACTTGGTGAGACCTCGTCTCTACAATAAATCAAAAAATCAGCCGGATGTGGTAGCGCATGCCTGTAATTCTGGCTACTTGGAAGGCTGAGGCGGAAAGATCGCCGGAGCCCAGCACGTTGAGGCTGCAGTGGCCGGGAGCGACCACTGCACTCCAGTCTGGGTGACAGAGTGAGACTCCAACTCAAAAACAACAACAACAAACTAGCCACGCATAGTAGCACGCGCCTGTAGTTACAGCTACTTGGAAGGCTGAGGCGGAAGAATCGCCGAAGCCCAGCAGGTCAAGGCTGCAGTGGCCGGGAGCGGCCACTGCACTCCAGCCTGGGTGACAGAGTGAGACTCCGACTCAAAAAAACCCAACCAACCAAACAAGCCCCCCCCCAAAAAAACCCCAAAACAATAATTCATATCAACACACTTTTGTTCGATGCCATATGGTTTTCATTACTTGTAGAGGAAACTTTTCATCTTCAATACTGTATTTACTTAAGTAACTGCCCAGGCAATTTTCATTTTTTTGCTGCTTAAGAAAATAAAATTAAAAACCCAAGTTAACTCCGTGATTATGTATACTAAACATGTGCCAACAACTACAACTTATTTCATTATAAATCTGGCATTTGAATGCTAAAAAGGTGATTAATATTCAACATTTGAATTTTTGGGGAAAAAAATGGCAAATAGTAGCCAAAGAACAAGCTATAGTATATTACGTTAAATTCACTCTTTTTTTTTGAGTTGGAGTCTCGCTCTGTTGCCCAGGCTACTGAAGCCTCAACCTGCTGGAATCCGGCGATCCCTCCGCCTCAGCCTTCCAAGTAGCTGGTACTGTAGGCACGCGCCACCATGACTGGCTAATTTGATTTACTGTAGAGATGAGGTCTTGCCAATTTGCCCAAGCTGGTCTCAAACCTCTGGGTTGAGGCAATTCTTTCGCCTCAGTTTTTCAATGTGCTAGGATTATAGGCGCAAGCCACCATGCCCGGCTGTAAAACTCATTCTTTAACAACTACAGCAGGCATTATGGTGCTGTTTCCCTTTTGTCTTTTCCTATTCATACACACACACACATAATATTTGTAATTATAGGATATATACACAATTCTGTAGCCACCATTGAAACAATTCAAAAATTTTTTTCTCATTTGATACATGGTAATAAGCATGCATCATCATTTATTGTGTACATTCCAAGTGTACTGGTTTACATGTATCTTTTTATTCTGACAATTCTGTAAATATTTTGCAAAGGGCTAGTAACTGAAAGAATAAAGAGCTATGACCCTAAAACTTATTTTAAAAATAATTATTTACAATGACTACATACTTATAAATGTGTCTGCCAGCAGGGTAGCATTTGCTTATCAGGTTCTCAAATCATCTTACTCTGACTCCTACAAATTCAATTCCATTTGTCAATTCCTGGATATGTAGGAAATTGGGGTGGGGGGGATCGGCATCCATTCTTCCAGGATGTTCTCTGCAGATGTCCAAGGGTGCTCATACTGATGTGGTGGGTTGGAGCACTCAATCAAGGAGCTACCCTGGTTTCATGTAAGTTTCATGGGCAGCCCATTACCAGCTTAAGCCTTTATCTCCAACAAACCACCAACCCTCTTCAGGATTAATTTCAGTTTTACTAAATTATCTCTACTTTTGTTTGCTCTTATCTGTGTCTACTCATTAGGTCTCTGATCAACTCACTGCTTTTGCACTGCATAGGACATGATGGGGTTAATCTAAGCACAACCAGCATTACGTGGCATAGTCTTGAGACTAAGACATGAATGCCAGGACTAAAATAACCGTAAGCCCACTAGCACTGGCTGTGGTGGAAAGCGGCACTGGTGTGCCTTTTCTCTGGTATCAGATTCTAAGAAAGATCACAGAAAAAGGAGCTTCTAAAGTCAGCCATGTTAGTAAGTAGGACAATAGAGTCCAGACACCGGATTCCTGCAAGTGAACCAGAACAGCTGAGATGGGCAACATGGAGCCCTTGAGAACTAGGATGATAACAGGTTCTGAAGCAAAAGGTAGCAGGTGTGGAGAGAGACCAATCCTGAGAATGTGCACTGCGTCATTATTCCTGGTAAGAGGTGGCAATGGCTTGGTCTATGGGACCTGTATAACTCTTTTATTTCTCGTCCTGAAACACTGGAGAACTTAATAAACATCTACGTAGAAATGGAGAAAAAAGGGGGTGACTCAGAAATTTTGAAGGAACAGATAACATCCCAGTGACAGAGAAAAGGCAAAAAACTGCACCTGCACCTTCTGATACTTCCTGATTTATCATTACTAGTGGAAGAATTCTTCTTCTGAATAATTTTTAACTGAGGTTGAAAGGAGGCACATCTCTGTTCTTAAGACCTTGGATAATTTTAGCCCTTTGCACTTGGATGTCTCCTCTGAGGGGACACTGTAAATCTAGCAAACTACTCCGACTTCCCCTCTCAGGGGCTATAAAGAGATTGCTGGTGATTATACAGGATAAACTCATGCAAGTGCAAATTTTTAAAAAATGTTATGCTTTCTTGAAATTTTCCATTCAAATTGCACAAAAAAGCAAATAAAGAGCTGGATTATACACCAAGATATGATCTACCAGCTGCACGTAAGTAATCAGGAGTAAGTCCTTCCACATGTCTTTGATCAATGGATTGGACAATAAATTACCTATTATTAATGTGGGAGGAAGAAAACAGGTTGTATTGTTTGCTTGAACAGGAAAACATCAGGTGGAAGACGTCAAACAAATCAAAATGACTACACATGTTATCAACGAACCCGCAATGCATGTCAGTGTTTCACACGTCGGCACATGTTAGATTTTTTTCTGATACATAAGTTCCTCAATGCCCAAAACTCTTTTATAAGCCAAATCTCACTACAATAAAATAACCGGTTTCAACAATATATTTAATATAAAGTGATTCGTTTTTCACTTTTTCACTAAGTGCCAAGAGTTAGATTCCATGGTGTATCTTCCAAACATGAACATGGACTTGTAATACAGAAAAAAGTAACAGAGAATAAGGCATAATCAGTATGCTGGCACTGATTAGTACCACACATTGTCAGAATAACCTCCAGGGCCTGAAACATTGATCTATTATAAAAAGAAATTCTCCCACCTGATCACAACCTTCTTCTATGTTGCTACCACCAACTTTCTGGCAATAGGCCCTTATGGCATTAGAGACCCAGAATCCATGAATCAATTTAAGTTTGCCCAGTCTCTAGGCAGAGGCTTGCACAAAGGCTTCCCCTTAAGTAAGAGTGGGGAATATGCGAGAAGAACGTGATCATAAGCTTCCCTATCAGGGTGAAGATATTCTGGAACCAGGCCGAGGTGCTGGAGGCACAACATGGTGAGTGTCCTAGATGCCACTGGATCTCTCCTTTAAGAGGCTCATTCTGTGCTATGTGGCTTTTCCCTCAGCTACAAAAAAGCCGCACAGTAAGGACGGGAATGGAATACAGGATGCTCGGCGAATTCATTCCTCAAGCCTCTGCGGCTTGTGCTCGGCTGCTTGGAGTGTGCTTAACCTCTCACCCAGAAGCAGCCTCCCCGGGCGCAGACCTTCCTCTTTCGTCCTCGGCGGGCGCTGGGGACGGCGGGAGGCACCGAGGGCGTCTCCGAAGCCTCCCGGGACACCGGGAACCAGCCCTCCGCGCGCCGCAGCCCTGCAGCCTGGCAGCCCCGCAGCCTGGCAGCCCCGCTCTCGCCGGGAGCGGGGACGCTTTGTTAGGGCCCCGCGACGCCCCCCGCGCTGACACCGCGGTCCCGGCGAGCTTGG